TGGGGCAGTGAATCCGTTAGGCCGATGACCGTGTTGGTTGAAGCCGTTGTGGTGAACCCGTCTGTGCAGGGTACACGCATGCAAACGTCCTCTGTATTCTTCAGACAACACTTCCGTCACCGTGGATTCCTCGTTGCTGTCAATTAAGCCGAATGCAGTTAAAGTTTTCTTTCGAATCTGTCTCGAGCTTAACTGGCACATTTTTTCCGGACGCAGCTTATCATGGTAACCTATTTTTGTCTGTTCTATTGAAGGTTTTCCGAGAGTATAACTGCTCATCCTCTGTTCCTCTGTATAATGTTAGTTGGGCCTCCTTTAAACGACGTTTGGTGGAGCTTCTGTCTTTCAGAGTGAGGTGCGAGAACTGTGACCGTTTTGCAAAGTTTACATCCATTTTGATGGCGATGGCGTTTGAAATCCAAATTTTCAGGTTGCCCTTAAAAACCGTTCAGCTGTAGCACCCTTCCGGTGCCTAGCCACCATGCCACCCGAAGGAAGCACGAGGGCTGGGATGCTTCCAGGTTGCCCAAGCCTAGACAGGGGCAGTCGAGAGGCAGAGGTCGGGTTCGAAGCACGGACCTTCCGATCAGGAAGTCGAGTGGCGGAGGTCGGATTCGAACCACGGACCTTTCGGTTAGTAAATTCGCGCTCTAACCACTTGGGCCATCTCGCCCCCGTCGCCCTTAAAATGTATACAAGAATTCGGAAGCAAGTCTGGGAGGTTCTCAATGTAGACTAGAGACAAAGGGGAGCCTCAAGGATCTCCAATATATGCTGCTGCCGAAGAAGTGAGGTTAGAATTTATTTTCCCTCTAGCTGTTCTACCTTGTAGGAACACCTTAGCCCAGCTTACAGCTTCCTCTTGAATTCCATATGAATGCGGATTGTAATGCAGGAGAACGCTAGAGCGAGTGCTTTGAGAAGTAAAAGAAAAGGCACCCAGTATTAGTTCTTTATCCTTAGCTAGGGTTGGGAGGTCCATAAATACCAGCATGTTCTCCGCGCAAGAACAGTTTCGGAAGAATCCGTGTTGAAGCGGATGTATGAAGTTGTTGATAGCGAGGTGATTCAAGATCGCCTGTTACAGGGGACCAAGTCGGTTAGACGTATTCATAGTTGCTTCCTGCCAAGACTGGATGTGGTGAACCCGTTTGTGCAGGGTACACGCATGCAAATGTCCTCTATATTCTTCAGACAACACTTCCGTCACCGTGGATTCCTCGTTGCTGTCAATTAAGCCGAATGCAGTTAAAGTTTTCTTTCGAATCTGTCTCGAGCTTAACTGGCACATTTTTTCCGGACGCAGCTTATCATGGTAACCTATTTTTGTCTGTTCTATTGAAGGTTTTCCGAGAGTATAACTGCTCATCCTCTGTTCCTCTGTACTTATTTTACTGAAGCACAATTAATCGCTCGTCTTCGGGAGATGCCGTATCCTTGGGCGTAACTCTTCTTCCCACCGTAAGCTAGTTTTTTGGACTTCCACCCGTCAGCCTCATGAGTTTCCCGGACACCTGCCATCCATGTCTCTCCCGCTGAAACTGGAACCAGTGGAAGCTGGTTGAAGCTTCGAAAACAAGTTTGGGTTCCCAAGTTCCTGGCTCAGTAGCAAACAAAAACAAAGGTATAGCGGTTATTATGTCATATTGGAACCTCAGCTAGAACTTGACCAACAAAGTGTATTTCCTTGGTGATAACTGGACCCAGCCGGCATCCTAGTTAACGTCCTTGGCATCTGGTGAGCGCGAAGCCTTTGTGAGTCCAATGACCCTGTTGAATGATTTCGATCAGCGCCGATGAAAACGTTCGCTAACACGCTGACACTAAGCCTTCGGAGGATTAAAATTACCCGCCAACCAGAGATTTTTGATGTGATAGCTGGCGAAGAGTTACTGGAGTGTTTATATGTGGAATAGATGATCTCTCAGTGGGTTAGAGGGGCAAAGGTAGACCACGCCGGAAGGGAATCGGCCTTAAGTAGTGGGATTTGAATCCACATTGATAACGTTCATTCCCAGCTGATGGGTAGCGTATAGTCGGGCATGATCCCATTGGTAAAGCCAGAATAAAGGCATGGCTGTCAAGATTTGTGTGAAACGGGAAAGTCACGCAAACAGTGGGAATTATCCGATGCACATGTGGTCTTGCTTAAACTGGCATGATCTAAATGCGATGGGCATTGAGAACACACAACACAGTTGTTATGAATGAATCAGTGTGAAGCAAGATCAGATACACTTTGAAGATGGCGGGAAGCGGCAAAACAGGGAGGGGAGAAACTGAGGCATCCTGCATGGCACGTGACAAGAACTGCAGGAACATACCTGATGACGCAAAAATGTTACAGTGCTCCGGCCAGTAAAGCTGAAATCGTTGCTCAGACTCCATGCCCTTGGCCATCTGGGTATACGGCCAGGGTTCTATAACCATAAATGGAGATGATGAAAGAGATGAATCCGTAATACGGACAAACAGTAGCTGGAATCTCCGAATCATGGCGTAGAGTGAGAATGTATAGACTCGATGTGGTCGCTTTCGGAGTAATGTCGCGTGTAAAACTTTCCCAGGAGAGTGAGTTGGTGCCACCGCACAGGACGGGACGCTGTTTGCTAAGAAAACGATTTGCTCTTTTAAGGGCGCAAAATGAAAGACCAACGGGATAGTTAGGTGCAAACGAAAAGTTCAGAAGATTGGAACGAACCTGTCGCAGAGGCCGCTGAGGTTAGAGAGGGAATTCGTTCGTAGCTGCAACTGAAGGAACGAGAGGTCGCAGTTACTAGTTGGGAGGGAATAGTAACCAGTGTACTGTCAGACCGGGTATGGCTTCTCCATGCCGTCATTCCACTGACTATTCGGTTGCTGGAGTGCCTCGCAATGGGTGCCGTTGTTGAGGTGTTCGGGCTTGGGATATACAACTCTTTTGGCAGAGGGGTGTCGGGTTAGCAAAGGGAGCCATACAGGTTACACAAAGCTGATGTAGGACCTTAGGTATTTTGGATCATACACGGCGTTCGATGCAGGTACCGCCGATGGTTGAAGCTCGAGAAGACGTAGAAACTGAAAGAGACCACTGTAGTCTGATGAGTGTGAGGAATATCGGATTTTTCGGAGTCCATTATTAGAGAAAAATAACCTAAACTTTATTGCAGTTTGTTTCATGACTACGAGTGGTTAAATGTGTTAGGGTAGGACTAGAATTGTGCTGAGCAGCCTTGCAACACAAGGACTGGCTAAGCTTGCCAATATGACGCTAGGACAATACAAGGAGCATGGGAAAAGCCAGTAAAATTGGATAAGCGACGACGGAGCGCTGCTGTGTCCTATTAAGTCAGGCAGCTTTGCACCGCAATGTTTTGTGTAGGTTTAACGAGTTTTAGACCCAAACGACTGATTCGTCCGGCGTGGATCATGAAAAATATTTCCCAGCGCATAATGCGCTCTCAGGAGTGAGAAGCCCTGACTGGTTCCGTTTGCGCTGATTAAGGCCGGGTGAAACGTGGCGTGTCACTAGAGCTGACAGGGTAACCCAAGGCAGGGACCTGGCTTCAGATAACTTGGCGTAAGTCACCTAGACTTCGTTTCAACACCACCAAAAGCTCTATCTTGCCAGTTACGTTGGCGAGACGGCTTTTAGAAAAAGACTCCCACATGATCTTTCTGGACTCCATCATGCACCCGTCCAATAGAGACGTCGTAGCTTACCTGATCACCGGATCAGAGGAACGGATCAACATCTCCTGCCGCGGAAGAATTTGGGGTAGAGAGCGTCGGGCACTCATTCAAAGAGGAAAAGGCGACGTCGAATTTCCTCCGGGCTGACACATCCGTTGTCTGAATTTTCCAAAGCTTTCGAAACAGATGCCAGTAAACCGGTGATACTACTGATGGGGAGGCATGCGAGTAGCATGTTTTCTCCTTGTAAATTCGCCTTGCGTCTCTTTAAAAGGGGGATTTGTTGCGGAGTTTGTGGATTCTCCTTGTGGCACTTGTTTGGATTTGAGCAATGATTTGAGTCAGTGAATATCCAGGAATGTTCAAGAAGACGCGTTCAAGAGAAGATGGATGTTCGGTTTTTGTAAATAAGATGCAAATGAGAGTTTTGCTTCCCTGTCCAATAAACTGCAACTGGTCAGTTGGCATTTTCCAACAAATAACTCCGCAGCGAGGGCCTTCTTCCATTCACCAGTACTTCATTAGGTATCCCGAACAAGATGGAACATTTGAACCGGTCTTACCGACTGAGAATTGAGGACTTGGCCCCCTCATAATATTTTGGAACGCATAGCACCCCTAACGTTGAGGTACCTGGCGCAGACGAAGGGGTTAAGCGAGTTGGAAAATCCTATAATCTGGTCATTATAATAACCTATACATTTAAAATACCACCACCATCTTACATTTGATGGACATCCATTTCGTCCAAGTATGTGGTGGTCCGCTACGGTGGAGAACAGACAGGAATATTTTGGCTCAAGAATATAGGTAGGCGCACCGCAGAATTGGAGTACAGTCTGATACTCTAACGAGAATTTCCACACGCAGATTATACTGAAGTGGAAAATTCTACTAAATGACACGCATTATCTCTATGAATAGACTGAACCGCGAAGGAACTTGTTCGCAACCTTACACGAGAAAAAGCACCAATTTCGAGCGCACCGCAACACTTCCAGTTCAAGCAAGTTCGTGCTTCCCGTCCACCACTAAAGTGGGCACTTTTTTGCCAGTTACCTCTACTGACGTTCACGCATCACTGGGCACTACGTATACTCATAGAACCACGTTCGCTACCCAGGAGGTATTTATGCGCTTGTATTTAAGTACACATACCGTTTGCCCTGATCCTCTCCCTTACATTGCCACAGACGGTGGGACCCACATCATCCTTCTTCTTCAGCTCCAGACGTGAAACCTCACAGTATGAGTCCACGAAATTTAGGCATTCTCACCCATACACTTATCGCCCCCCACTAAACCAACCATAAAAAACTAAGCGCCTCTTTTGAAATTCTGCGGAAATCCAGAAATGGTTTAATCGGGTGGCATGACTGAAGCGACTGCTCAAGGTGCTGCTCGTGGATCATTGCAGAATGAAGGAGATTCATCTGTGAGTTCGAAGATACTCGCTACGTAGAAGATTGCTGCCACTGATTCAATGAAGGTCGTCTAATTTTCAAAACCCAGTTGATTGTTCCAAAATTATTATTCACTTTGCGAGAGAGGTTCTAGATAAGTTATTCCTGTCGGGCAGAATAACGCGTTGCCTTCGACCCCTGCTTCGGTATTTGCTGTCCAGCCACATCACAGGTCTCCACATCGTGTCTCGGGCCCTACGTCGACCTCTGAAAACCCGCCGTCATAGGTTTCAAGCATGGTCCTCAAAGACCTTAACTCATGCTTGCCGTGTACAACAGACCACTCCCTAAACATGGAGCGCCAGTAGTTTCTTCCAGCACTTGGGAGAATGAAAAGACATGGAACTGCTGGAGTGGCTGGCCGCCCCATGTCGACGCCTAACAACTGTGAGATCATCTACGATTCTTCACTACCGAGTTCATGAAGACTTGATTGAAGACCGTAGGTGGGATAAGTGTGCTCCACTGGGACCGTTTCATCTATTCTTGCGCGCATATACACTGTCATAAACTTAAAGTTGCATCTTTTAATCGTCAAGATTTGCCATCAAAACTTAGGATTCAATACTCGGCCGCTTTCAAATCGAAAAGGCACCTCACGGCTTTCAGCGTGAAAAACAATTCATAAAGTCCACACATCTACCAGGATGATAGATAAGGTGGGGCAAGTTGGCTCACTGGTTAGAACGTAAATTTAAAGAACGCAAAATTAAAGGTCCGTGGTTCGAACCCGACCTCTGACTCTTGACTTTCCCTGTTTGGGCTTGGGCAACCCCGCAGCATCCCATCCCTCGTTCTTTCTTCGGGTGGCATGGCAGCTAGGCACCGAGAGGGTGTTACATCTACCAGGATACAGGGTGTGACGGAGATTACAGGTTACTACTCTCTTAGTGGATTTATTACAGATTGAACATACCTATGGTTCAATCTGGCTCCAAATCCGAGAACTTGTCATCGGTAAGTGATAGAGGATAATTCTATGAATTCCTTGGCTTCCCTCAGTCTACTGCCCTAAGTGAGTAGCGTTTGCCGGGCTTTTGGGTTATGCCGAATATTCTCGCACTTCAATCACTTCACAGCGGTTGTGTAAGATGATTAATCGATTCCAAAAATACCTCACTTGAACGCTGTCCAGATGCGGCGATCGATTTTCAGGCATTCACAGATCTCTATCCTGTGTTGGTCCCATTGAAGGACCTTAGTATCATCACCGTACTCAGTGTACTTGATTGAGGGAAACCTTTCGATATTATGGACAAATGGGAAGTCTTAATCAGGACCTCAGAGACTTCTATTGGTGCTCGCCATAAACTCGTACGTTTATGTTCGAGGCTTTCAGAAGTGACAAAATGGTTGGAATATTTCACCACAAACTCTGATGATAAGCTGGTTCGAATTTGAGGTTTTGTTAGGGGAAATCCGCTCGAGATACCTCAGTGGTTAAGGTATGAACCGGTAGGTCCATGTTTCGAAACCAGCCTTGGTATTAGCAATGTTGTGGAACTTAGGTAGCTCGGGCGCGCTGTTTGTTGGTCTGTTTATCGACTTACTCAACCTTGCACTGACGATGTTACCTCGATTGGCGATGAAACGTTTGCAATCCAACTGCCAAGCTCGGCGAACAGACCAACAACCAACCGGCCTTGGCATCTCGATTACTCCTGTCTAGACTTGGGCAACGTGACAGCATCTCAGTCCTCGTACTCATGGCAGCTGTACACCACAATGACGTTACAGCTGAACGAATATTATTATTATTATTATTATTATTATTTGGGGGAAATGGCTGGTATTGGTTGTTGGTTGCCGTGCGGGGCTAGCTACCTCAACTTCCCAAATCATCGGTGAACTAAACTGTGTCATCTATAGCCACTGTATGACAAGTACGTGGTTCCTACAGCTGATGGTGATAATGATGATCAGTTTGTTGATATATCTTTCATGGAGAGAACATGTTCTGACCCAGGGCGAAACAATTTAGTTCTCATGGATCTGTCATTCTGTAACTGATCAGTCCAATGTTTATTCCCGCCTTCTTTCTTAAGACAAGGTGTTTCCTTTTACGGGCTGATTCTACGGTGGACTTCGTTTCTTTCAAGACGGGTTGCTACAGGTTACTTTGGCCGGTACCTAATCCTGATTGTCGATAGAACGGTGGTGATCGTACATCTTGTATGCTGTTTTGTTGTCAGAAAGCAGGAAATTGAGCCGACTTGTGTGCACTGCCGTTGTCAGAAACAGTATCTGGAACTCCAAAGTTGCTAAATACACGTTGTAGTTTTGAAGTGGTAGCACAAGCAGTAAAATGGTTCATGTTGTACACTTCTGGCCATTTGCTATAAGCATAAAGTTGCTACACGTTGTAGTTTTGAAGTGGTAGCACAAGCAGTAAAATGGTTCATGTTGTACACTTCTGGCCATTTGCTATAAGCATGTACTAGGATTAGATATTGTTGACGGTTGATTGGTCCCGAAAAATCAACATGAAGTCGTGACCATGGAGTTTCTGGAACAGGCTATGAACATAATTCTGTCTTCCGGAGAGATCTTGTAGACAGTTGGCATCTTGAGCACTTGCGTACAAGTTCTAACTGCTTAACCATGTTCAGCCAGTTGACATAACTACGTGTTAGCGCCTTCATGCGGTTGATGCCGCGATGTCCAAAATGAAATTGTATAAGGACATCACTCTATAAGTCCGGGGGCACAATTACCCCTTTCGCGAAGATTAAGCAACCATCGACCTGGGGAAGTAGAGTCAGTGTTGGTAGAACGGTCGAAGTTGTTTATTGGAACATACTGGAGACCAGTGTGCGCGGTGAAAGTACATAGTGGACCAGTGGCGCCGCGAACCATGGCAGTGGCAGTTGGAAGTATACGGACTGTAGTAGCAAGCATCGCGTTAGTTTCTGGCTCCACTGTTATTGAGGCAACAACCGTGATGTATATCAATTGTCAAAAGTCCTTTGGATACATCGGAGACTTCTATTTGGAGGCAAACATCAGCGAGATCAGGCTTTGCGAAACATTTGCCACCACTGAGCTTCGCGAACAGATCTTCTGGTATCGGCAATAGATATTGGTAAGAGTTCAACACGATGTTTAATCCAGTGGATTAAACGGGGCGAGATGGCTCAAGTGGTCAGAGTGCGAATTTACCGACCGGAAGGTCCATGGTTCGAACCCGACCTGTGTCACTCGACTTCCCCTGTCTAGGCTTGGGCAACCTGGCAGTATCCCAGCCCTCGTGCTTCCTTCGAGTGGCATGGCAGCTAGGCACCGAGAGGGTGTTACAGCTGAACGCAATGGAATAATCAGCACATTTGTACGCCCTGCCATATGCTTTTTTGACGACAACTATAGGAGCTGCTTATGATGAATAGTTTACTACCGGATAACTCCGGACTGCTGGAGACGAACGATTCCATTCTCCACGGTCGCAAGAGTGGCAACTGATACGGGACGCTTCGTCCGAAAATCGGTCTAGCATCGGGTTGGCGTTTGAGGCTCGCCTTGTTTTTTGGTACAGCATCCAAGGCCATCTTAGGTGACCTCGTCTTGAGTGTGTTAGTAAAGTGCTATGCTATGTCTGAGGGAGATGAAAATTTTAAAGCACTTCTCACAGGTCGTCCACCTATAGTGCCCTTTCGGTGTCTAACTGCCATGCCACCAGAAGGAAGCACGGGGTATGGGATACTGCCAGGTTGTCCAAGCCTAGACAGGATAAATTTCATGTAACTGGTTCGTTTCAATACCGTGATACTAGTGAAATCAGTTGGTCGTAATGTCTACTGTAACATTGCGGTATCGTTTTGAGATTACGGAAACTCCGAGGAAGGTGTACTGGAAACAAAGCTGAACCTCTTTGTGATATGGATTCAAATGGACCAGAATGTAATAAGAGTAAGCAGTCCATTAGTATGTCAATAAATGGCAGAAATACAGATAACAAGGTTTCAGTCTACAAGGTAGATTGTTAGCGAAATGAATTTATTCGTTTGAAGGCACTTACGCCAACCGTTCATCTTCGACCTTGTTAGTGTTTTTTCTTAACCTCCCTATGACACCTCGGATTTCGAAAAGCTGTCGGGGCATTTACCCACAGATTTTGAGCATGCAGATGATCTTGCTTTCCGTGATGCGTGTCCTCTGGAAATGCAAGCCATTTCAAATCACCTGCATAATTGTGTTGCATGGTTCGATATGCGCAGAACGCCCTAAGGCTTTAGTGTTCCTACGAAGTTGGGTAGAATAAAACCCAAGCGTCCTGTTTGCAAACCAGACAATTGGCGGAGTAGATAAATTTGTTTATTGTATAGGTCCCTGCGGACTGGCTGGAGATGAAATCATTCGTCAGATCAAAAAGACCAGAGTATTTTTGCCAAACTTTGAGGCCTACGGTACCCGCGTGATGCCAGCTCGTCTGTCAATAGTGGTGCGATCCACAGTGCTTTGTCGATCAGAGACTCGGCGTTTACACTTCTACACATATTTCTCAGTGTTCAAGTATGGACGCCAGATGTAGTAGTGCACTATACCTGGAAGGTTAGATTGGCTCCAACGGTAAAGTAACAGGTGAGACCGAAATATAAATATCGAACACTATAATACGTTTGCTTTTGCGGTACTTTTGACATCAAAAAAAAACGGTAAAGTAACAGGTGAGACCGAAATATAAATATCGAATACTATAATACGTTTGCTCTCATCTGCGTACTTTTGACATCAAAAAAAAACAAACCATTGAGTCTCAAGGGTCATCATCACCAGACTACACAGCGGGCTTTTGTACGACTGCGATTGTCCTAAGTGGCGTGAAAAAAGTCTTACAGCGTGCCACTTTTCATCCGGTTGACCGACAATTGCCTCGTCTCACGCATATCTTGAGGTAGTTGAGGTCGGTATTATTGGGCTAATAAGGTTTTCTGGAGGTAATGAATACTTGATTCGAACGGAAGGCGAGTTCACACATGTGACCACCCAACGATATGGTCAGAATCAGGAGGCGTACCCGGAACGTGCGACAGACTTTAATTAAATTCTCGAACATTCGAGTCACTCACCAACACAATGATATCTGAGTTTGTCGCCACCTACATCAAATTTGACGAATTTCGATAGGACTTATCATTCTTAGCTCCGGGCTTCGTTTGTCGGAGAGTATGCTAGTGCGACAAACGAAAAAAGATGGCTTAGGTCGTTATAACTTAATTGAACTGATAATTCCATCGCCAATTGAACCTCTGGCGAAATTCGTCCGTGCAGAATGAGTAATTGGTGTGCCGAATTCCCGCACCTCACGTACAATTCCTTATAACGAATGTCTGCATACTGTAAGAACTCCGTAGGCAGCGTATGACTGAATATGTGATCCCAACCAAAACTTTGTTTTTCATCTTTTCGTGGTCACTGTTTCCTCCTGTCATGTTGCGTCTGCACTATTTATTTCTCCTTATAAAATTACGTGATTCACCCCTCATCACCACATTCGGGGTGATCAAGTATAAGCTAGTTGGTCATCGAACACGGAGGCAAAAGAATGGAGACCATTCTTTAGACTTTCGTTTTTGCTGCATTTGTTCCTGCAAGCTGCCTTTCCAAACCCGAGGTATATTTCGTATCCCAAACAACGTGTTGTGCACTCCTGTTATTCACAATAAGAAAGATTCAACGTTTGGTTTTCAGTGTATAATCCGCGGTAATTTGGTCGTCGGTAACCTAAATCTTTCCATTTTACATAAACCAACATCTTGATACCCTTAAACTAATGCATGGTTAGTTCGCCTTGAAATAGCTACCCATGTATTCTTCTGTTTTCTTTTCAGATCGCCGTTGTCTTTGGTATTGTAGGTTCCCTCTTGTTCTCATATTTTGTTATAGTTTTCCGATCTTGTAACTTTATTTTCAACCTCATTTGTCCTGATTTCCTGTATTTCCTTACTCTTTAGCTCCTAAGTAACGAACCACCTGGACAGAACGAAGAGTATGAAGGTGCGAACTCTGGACAGGCTGACCATACGCAACAGTCTTCGACCTCCACCGCTGCCACGACTACTACCGCTGACGCATCCAATGAATCACCTCCACGTCAGACTAGGCAACAGCTTCCTCGCACCAACCCGGTTACAGATATGTTTAATGCCAGAATTCAGCTATCTGAAGCCTTCTTTCGGAGGGTGGCAATGGGCTATGCGCGTCTTTTCCCTCTCACAGCCAGACGTATAATAGAATTCGGCTTTTTGGTCCAGGTAAGAGTTCATGTGCAGTTCGGGCATTGCTCAATGTAAAAGCTCATATCTGGAGCTCAAGGTTATCTATTGTGTAAGGCGCAATCACCCGATACCTAGGTCTGTTTTACATTCTCTTCGACTGCCATCTAGCCTTTGGCAACTTGACAGGACTATTTCCCTTAGGTTGTTAGGTGGCTCCACTCCGAAGGGTTATCACAGTAGTGCGGTTGATAAATTTTTTTTATCGTATGTGGTTACTGTGTTTAAGTGAACAATTGTATTGGATAAAGACTAGTTGCTTTTGTGGTGTTTCTGGTTGGCGAGCCAATTTTTGTGTGCCAAATTGTCCCATCAGAAGGGAGCACTTCCAGACGGTATCATTACCCTGCCTAATTTCCGTAGTCCCTGTGAGAGAGTTGTCGGACAGAAGCTTCAATGGTAAGCCTACGGTGATTACCACAGGTGTACCCAAATGCGGCGTTTACTTTATTGTGGAAATTTCGTTGTGGATACTTATGTCAGATACGTAATAACAAGGTGTAGGGCATATAACTTGAGACCCACCTGTCTAACAGGGCTTTTGACCCTAAAATGCGCTAATATGCCGTAATAATTTTCCGTAAATTAATGGTAACGTTGTTCCCCATCGACCATTCACAAGTTTGTTTTCCCTGTGGAATTCCAGGATTATTCAATCTGCATAAAAAACTTCATCTGTCATGTCTCTGCAGCTGTCACACGATGAGATCCGTAGCTGAGAAATGACGATCAATATAACTGAGTAACAATTTACTTCAGTGTCAAATGTCATCATCATCATCATCAAGTGGAATTCCTATTCAATCTGCATAAAAAACTTCATCTGTCATGTCTCTGCAACTGTCACACGATGAGATCCGTAGCTGAGAAATGACGAGACGAT